CGGCACAGCCACCCACCCGGGACTCTGTGCCTTGGTGGCGGCCAGCGTTTCTGCCTGGGTTTTGAAATTCCCCCTTCCAGGAGCGGATCCGCCAAGCGTTTGATCGTCTAAAGGAAAGTTGCACAATTTCACCCTGAGCCGGTTTGGTTGCACAACGCTCCCCCCGTGAAGCGGGGCTGGTGGGTTGCAGTGCTTTCTGAGTTGTTGCTCTGACATCTCTGAAGTTTGTCAAGCTCAACTTTGGAGAAATCCCCTTTGTCTGCTGTTCCTTCCCTCCCTGTACCCGTGAGCCTAGAGATGCAGAGCCGGCAGAATCGAGGAGGTGAGGAAGGAAAGATGAGCGATGCTAGGAGTGAGGCATGGTATTTCAGCACGCAGTCACTTCCCTCCTATTAGTAGTTGCTACAAATGAAAAAGAACGGTACCTTTTCTAATATAACTTAATCTTTTTCCTAGATCTGTTATTGTAACCAGCTGTTACTCAGCTTAAACAAAATAAGTGCTACACAAGTGCTGCAGTTTTATCTGATAGGTAAAGCCTGTGCCCGTGCCCATGAACTGTGTGGGTGCTGGTCGCTGGATGTGGTTTGCTGTTCTGCAGTCTCTAATTTGTCCACCTCTCACTGCAGTGGACTTCATTTAGAGGGAATGATGAGAATTCGTAGTTTATATAGGAAGAAATCTGTGACAAATTAGAATCCCCTTTTTGTAAGGAATTCAGTGCACAGAGCAATTAAATGAGTTGTACTTCTCACTGTAGCGGTGAGCGAGTCCCCTAAGAGTCCTGGCTCAAACTTGGTGGAGACTTTTCATTTCCCTTCAGCCACAGGAAAGCTCAGCGGTGTGCGTTTCCCCCTCTGCACGCTGGTGCCTGTGGAGACTTTTAAGGGTGAGTGGGGTCAGTGCCTGGGGTCAGAGCTGCCCCTTTGCTGGCTGCCAGCAGGTAGGGACACTTGGGAGCTGCCCAGGTACCCAGGCACCGCCGTTACCAGCTCCCAGTTCTGCTTCCTAATGTACGTCTTGTTCTGAGCGGTGGGTATAAAGCTTGCCGTTTGATTTAGAGCCAGGTCTGGGCAGCGGATCGCTGTGGCTCTGGGAGGCAAACCCGCAAAGGTGCGTTACTGGTGGCTTTCTCGGGGAGCGCCATTAAATGTCCTTCGCTGCACTCGCGGGGGCCGTGCCACAGCCCCACTCCGGAGGGCCGCGAGGCTGGGCTGCCGTTGCGAAAATCCACTGCCTCCGAAAAAATAACACCCACTCCCCCCCGCGCTGTATGAACAGGTAAAACCGGGCGTTGGGGAGCTCGGTGGGCCTTGCAGCCCTCTTGGTTCTGCTTCACTGAAGGTCCACCTTAACCGTCCCCGTGCGAGCGCGGAATCTGGCTGTGCCCCGGTGTAGTCTTACAGCAGCCTGGTGTGCTCCCGCCTGGCTTCATCCGTGCAAAAATAGCCGGGACCCACTACCTAAGATGTCATTGTAGCGTTACTTATCTGAGGTGAAACTGAAGCTCGTCTTTGACGCTGAACGGCGATTAAGTGCCACGGTTGCCTTTTAAAGGTAATTTGTTGCCCACGTTTGTGGGGAGGGCAGGGAGACGCTTGGGTTCTGGGGTTTTGTTTTGGTTTTGCTGCCTCAGCGTTAAGTTGTGGCCGTGGGTATTTCACTTTAGTTCACAGCTTTCATTTGAGGGTTGATTTTAATCTGTTTTGTCTGTAGCATAGCTTCATATTGGTAGAACAATGCTGTAAAAATAAAAAAAGTCGCAGGGATTTTATTTTCTTCTGATTAACTTCAAAGTTGTGATGTTTTGACATCGTTTTGAAACTGTCAAAACAGAATGTGTTTAGAAACAAGCTTTGAGCTGATGACATGGCAGCATATGATATTCATTTTGTTAGAAATAAATGTGCCAGTAGTGCTAATTTCTTCCATGCTTGGATTTAAGGGGTGCTATCAATTCATGCTTGTCTCAACACTGATGTTTTTTTAAGATGAGCTTTGATGTAGGGTGGGTTTTTCCCCCCCCGCACAGCATTTTGCTAGTAAGAAGTAGCTGTCAAACCTCTCAGCACCGGGAGTTCTCAGAGACCTAAGTCCATGTTACCAGTTCCCTAGCTGTGTTTCTTCCTAAGCTATGGAGGAAAACAACATGTGGGGAATAAAAGCAGAAGTAGTGACAGACCTGGTGTGGATTTTTTGGCTGGCTTTGTAGAATGGAAGGGAACACAGATGAAGAAAGAAGGCTTTTAAAATGGAATTAAAACTCTAATCCTCTTCCGCAGGTATCAGTTCTTTGGATTTGATCCTTGAATACTAAACATCATGAGCAACTACAGCGTGTCTCTGGTCGGCCCGGCTCCGTGGGGTTTCAGACTTCAGGGGGGCAAGGATTTCAACATGCCTCTGTCTATCTCTCGGGTAAGTGCGTTTGTCTCTTCGCCTGCGTGCGGGTATCTGTTATGCTGTGGCCGGCCTGCAACCTTCAGACATAAGTGAGCAAAGCCATTAATTACAGATGCTGAGGCTCAGCTTGCCCTGTGTCCTGGAGGGCTGTTGGGGGGGGAAGCTGGGAAAATAAATCTTCTTTATTTTCTGAAGGCTCCAACAAAATTGTCTTAGGAAGGATGTATTCGTTTGAAGTGGTTGTTTTATCTGCATTTATTTATGCAACAAATGAAAGAAACCACCCTTGAATTCCCCTCCCTGCTCCCACCCAGCAAACAGAGATGCAGAGGTTGGAGGTGGACAATTTTCTGTGCAGGGCTGAGCCTGTGCAGTTCCCATGGGGGAGGGGAGGAAGGAATCACTCACGTTACCCTCATTTATTCAACAGCTCTTAGTTTGAGGATATTCTGGTGTCTGTTCTTGCAAATCCCACTGTTTACAATAAAAAGGCGCTTAAATGCTAGTAGTTGTCAATAGAGGTTCATCAGTATGTGCCTGAGTGAACAAACAGGCCAGTTTCTCACGAGTGTTTTATAGAGTGAGTGCTCTGAACTGGTATTCAAAGGATTTGAGGAACTAAGTTGAAACAAATGTGATCTTTGTACCCAGGAACTGTCTAAACTACCACTTTAAAACCATGTTTTCAGGGCAGGCTTATCTTTCAGTGTGAGCTGAGTTTCAAAGCCTTCCTTAGATGGCTGAAGCACTTCACATATAAAATATAGAGATAAACTTTACAGCATTGAATTTATTGGATCATTGGAAATCTCTGGGTGAAGAAACTGGCTTCTGATGGCTCTGTACCCTGGCACCTTTAAATTTGATTTGCTGCGTAGAAGCATTTCTGTACATATGGGCACTTCTCTCTTGACAGCTCTCCTCCTCCTCCTGCATATTGGTATAGTTTAGTGACAAAGATGAATTATTTTTTACACCTGTTGGGACTGCAGAATTGATACTGCTCTGGGAGACTGAGCAGGTTTCTATTTGGGTTTATGCATCATGGCAATATTTTTAGCTAATCTCAACTAGCGATTCGAACTCTGCCAGTTCATTTAGACTTCGCTCATCCTATCCACCTGTGGATTATGCTGGTGAAGTTAAAATGCAGTTTGGCTCTGCAAAATTATTTTTATATGGCTAAAATGGACTGGAAAGCTGTAGAAATGCCTGTGTACAGATGAATAAAGCTGATATCTGAGCCAAAAAGGGGTTGAGAAGCAGTTTGTTCACGTGTTCTGGGGATTTTCAAGCTAGAAACTGTAATTCAGTTTCTTGTTCAGTAGCTGGTTACTCCTATACTAATGAGAAATTTGAACCATGGATGTGGATAGCACTCTTCTGGTTTGATGGTAGAAGTGCACTTGTGCATAGTACTGATGAGCAATTAAATGCTGTAGGCAATAAACCACAGTAAACAACTAGTTTGAGGAAAGGGTAGTACTTTTTTGTAGGAGTCTCTGCTGTCCTGGAGATCTAGAACACAGTCCCGCTGTAAAGAGGCTTCCCATCTAAAAGTTTCTAAAGAGGAAATGTGTGTTGAAATTAGCCTAGACTACTACTTTATTGCAGTAAATCAAATATGCTGTCACACGGAGTAGCCTAAGGAATCCCATAACTGAGGCTTTTATACCTAGCTATTTAGGCCAGTTCCCCTAAAGACAAATGTCGGCACCCACAAGAGCAGAATGTAATGAAAGGTGGGGACCGGGGTGGTTTTAGGACTTTAATTTGTGCATGGGAGGGGGAAGCACAGTATCCAGTTCACCTGTTATACCTCAGGACTGCTCCTCAGCTGAACTGTTTCTTCTCATTTGCATTTAAGGCCGTGCAAATATTAGGGTGCCTGGTGCTTCCCTGCCCCTTTGGATCAAAAAGGTGCTTAGTTCTGGTATGCCAATCCCGCTTTGGCCTGATAGCTGGAAGAATTCAACACCATGTTCCTGGTATGCCAGAACAGTGTGTACCATTCACCCCTCCGCCCCCAGCCCTGCTTTTCCTTATGAAGCATAAATGCCTTCCTGTATCTGAAGACTGCTAATTAAATTATTTTAGCAAAACAGTAATGAGGCAGCAGAATTATGTTCTTTGGCAAGGAGGACTCTTTTTGTTTTCTTTTTAATTTGTCCTCTGGATGCTGAGGATGAATCTGGCTGCGCTGCTGAGGGCTAATTTCCTGCTTTTAGTTTAAACTCCTTGAAATTAAGTTCAAATAAAGTATAGCTTACGAAGCACAGAAAATACACTGGTTTCAAAAGCTGTTTATCTGAAAAGAGTATCTCCTTTGATTTGAACAAATTAAGATCTCATATGGTTCATTGGAGAAAGTAAGTCATTTGACTTTGTACAGAATGCGGTTTAAATGGGTGTATTCCTTGTTGCCTCTGTAAGGTAAAACAAGCCTGTTTCATGTTCTTCAGCTGAAATTCTTTGTGTCAGCTAAGGTGTAACAGGTTAACATTAATGCAGGGGTAGCGGTAACACTTGATTTTTCATAAGCTAGTATATTGTAGCCTAGATGTAACATCATAACCGATAGCAACAATTATTGCAGGGTTATGTCAGTCACTGTCTTAGCGCTTTAAAGTTGCTACCAGCACTTACACAGCTGTACACATTTCATGGTGAGTAATATATATGATATTGGCGATACAGCCTTATAGTTAGTGGTGTAAATCAGCACAAGAAAAGTGTGTATGGTGCTTGTTACGTATACTTGTGTCTGGCTGGAGTTCAGTGGGGTGGCTTTTCGCAGTCTTCCTCCAGCTGTGTGAGCCCTGCCGAGTGCTGTTGCGCAGGTCAGGAACGCAGTGCCAGGATGCTGATGTGGGATGGGAGCGTGGTAGGGGGTACGGCTCTCATGAAACAGGGGTCAGAGTGGAGGAAGTTGCTGTGAAAGTAAAACAATTTGATCTTTGCCCTTCAACTGGGGGTAGAGGGTGGGCTGAGGTGGTAGATCTACGTCTTTATTAACAGCCGTGGGTTCAAGTGGCTCAGGCCACCACATGTAACTGTACTGTAGGGCTTCCAGGTAGTTTATTCTGTAGTGGTAGTGTATAACAAGAGATTGCAAGCTGTGACCAGTTAGCCTGCAGTGAAGAAGAAGGTAGAAATTACTAGAGCCAAGGTATGCAAACTTCGTTTATTCTGAGTTGCTGTTCTTACTTTTTCCTCATGACATTTTACATTGATTAAAGAATCCTTCTTCCTTCAAGACCTACATTGTGATGCAAAACTGAAAAAATGGAAAGGTAGAGCAGATAAGAAAAAAATACTGAGATACGAGGTCAGTTATGTGCTGGTGGCTCTAAAGTAGCTATTGCAGGCAGTGACTAAGATTCAGATTTTTCACCCTGTGGAAGAAAAAGCTTAATGCCTGTCTATCTATCTGTAATATATGTAGTCACGTGAAAAGACATTTGCCATAATGCGATTGTCTTCATATGAGTGCATTGGTTGCTTCTGAATTAGCACAGAGCACTGAAAACGCAGCTACGTAATAGGCGTCTCGACCTGGTAGATTTGGGAGGCGGCGTCCCAACACTTTGAGTGTTGGCTACACTGCAAGAATTGCGTCATGGGTCCTCCTTGTTTCTCAATTATTTTCAAAGAAAATTTGTTCCCAAGTTGCAGGATGTTCTGGTAAACACCAGGTGAGTCAAAAAAAGACTATTGGACCAGAATAATTGTAGCTGAATTATTTTGTTTTTAATCGTCATTGCCAATAATAAGGGATCTGCTATTGCTGGTATCCATGTAGGTCTGTGGTATTGGATAAATCCTACTGATGCTAGGGATATGTCCAGTTCGGGAATAACATGGGTCTACACTCAACAGATCCTTACCTTCTAGATTTGTTTGTGCAAGAGTTTGTTTCTTCTGATGAATTAGTGTAAAGATTGGAAATAAAGTAATCCAAACACACTGCTAGGCAGGATTCCTGCATTGGCTCTTGTGCATGCTGAGTATTGTATTTACAGAATTTGGGGTTGATGATATTTACAATGTGGTCTCTGTTGTTTACGTGCAACACAATAGCATTTAAAACAATACAAACTTCTTTAGAGTTTGAATTAAGATTATATTTGCTTTACTCTTTTGGGAGATGGTTTGTTCACAGTGCTTAATTGACATGAGCAGAATAAACTCAGTAAGCATGACTGTAGCATTAGAATTGTCAAAACTGCTGTCCTCTGCAGATTAAAATAAATAGTGTTTTGTATTCATGATGTATTCATTATGTTGCGATGACCTGCGAGAGGTTTAGATATTTGTTCTAAATGTATGCTTGAAGTGTTTGTAGGCTATCAAAATTTTTGTGGTGCAGTCTCTAAATGGTGCTTGTCTCTGTTTTATGGCAGTATTTACCACTAGAAACAAGGAAGTGCTGAAGTGAAACTGTAGTTTGAACAGTAAGGTAGCCTGTGTGTGATATACACCCTCCCACCTAATGCAAATACATAGGATGTTTTCCTGTATTTAAAAGTTCGGTTTTTTGTTCACTCCTGATGGCAGCTCTAGCCATATTCCTCTCATAAGAACGAAATGGAATAGTCTTCTGGAAATGCTTGACCGGACTGACAGCTCTGTTTTTCTACTGCAACTTCTTTCAGTATGTTTACCCCCTCCCACTGGTCACTTTGTCTCTTCAAAAAAAACAAACCAACCACCCCCCACCCTTTAGAAACAGCCCCTGCTTTTTCCAGTTTTTCAGTTTTCATTACTTCATCTGTTTCAAGTACATTTTTCTGTGGTGTTATTGCAAGCTCGTAGTTGATGGAAGACTCAAGATAATGCATCTGTCAGCGAACAGTACACCCAGGGAGTAGGTGGAAGAGCAGCCCACCTTGGGATGAAGTAGGGAATGCACGTGCAGCACGTCAGCTGCTCAGTATTCATCTCGTGAGTGTACCGGCATTCTTCATGCTGGTGTCAGGAGGTCACTGTTGGAGGAGTTGTCTCCTCTGCTCTCC